TTAAACCAGACAGTAACCCTGGTGAAAATGGTAATTAAAATGTAATTCCCTCTCCTGCAGTTCTCCTACTTTCCCCTACAGCGTTGGGGAAAAAAAAAAAAAAGACAGAATGTGCTTCTGTTATCTGCTGTTTTCAAAAACGTTTGATTGAATTCTGTCAGAGGGCAGATTTCAAATTTCCACGCAGACGCGGATCCTCATTACCTGTGGATGCTGAGACGGCTTACGTGTCGTCGCGCGTCTTTGACGGGGCTTATTTGCGATTTAGAAAAGATCCGTCAAAACGGATATTTCGCAAGCAGTCGGCATTATAAAGGAAAGAAAGTTAAATGCAAACATCTGTGTAACAAATGATAAAATTAGATCTTACGTTTGCTTCCTGGGATTTCCGGCTGCAGTCATATTAAATAAAGTTAATAAGCCTGTCACTGATTACTTTTTCATAAATACAGAAATGAAAGGAGGCATCCCGCATTGTTCTGAGCGTAAAGCGCAGCCGACGCTGGGCGCTTCAAAAGGTAATTGTTCAAATAATTGTTTAATGTCTATGATAAATGAAGTTGAAACACTAGCTGCTCCAAAACAGCGAGACTAATTGGCTCTGAAGCTAAAAAGAATGGTGATTAATGAAGTTCATAAAGCGCGGTTTGCGATGGAGAGAGCGGCCTTCCGCGGCCGGCGATATGAGCCACCAGCGGGGAAAACGGGAAGTGATCGATTAGGGAAGTCGAGGCTGCCTTCTCACCTTCCTCAGTGCACGGGCAGCTGGCCGCCCACGGGGTGAGGAAGAACGGCATCTGACACGACACTGATTATTTCAGATAAGCAAACCATACCCAGCCAATCCTGTTCCCCGCAAACGGGAGGGACATCCTGATTTTCCCGAGTCCCTGGGTCAGCAAGGGAGGGACTTGTGTGTCACTGCTTTAACCAATCAGAGTCTTTATTGTATCACATCACTACACCTCCTGGGCTGTGCTGCCTGGAGACCACAAATTATCAAGATAGTCTGCCTCCCCTGCTGTCTGCTACAGGCGTCTCTCCGGCCCGATCGCCCCTCTCCCTGCGGCGTCTCTCCGGCCCACTCGCCCTTCTGCCTGCGGCGTCTCCCCGGCCCGCTCGCCCTTCTGCCTGCGGCGTCACCCCGGCCCGCTCGCCCCTCTCCCTGCGGCGTCTCTCCGGCCCGCTCGCCCCTCTGCCTGCGGCGTCTCCCCGGCCCGCTCGCCCTTCTGCCCGCGGCGTCTCTCCGGCCCGCTCGCCCTTCTGCCCGCGGCGTCTCCCCGGCCCGCCCGCCCTTCTCCCCGCGGCGTCTCCCCGGCCCGCTCGCCCTTCTGCCCGCGGCGTCTCCCCGGCCCGCTCGCCCTTCTGCCCGCGGCGTCTCCCCGGCCCGCTCGCCCTTCACCCCGCGGCGTCTCTCCGGCCCGCTCGCCCTTCTGCCCGTGACGTCTCTCCTGTATTCCCCGTTGCTGTACCACTGTCCGTCCTGCCACCTGAAGCAGCACCAGCACCTGCCTGCCGTCACCTGCCTGCCCCCCCACGTTGAGACTCAAATGTTAAAATTGGGACAGTGTGAATTGGAACTGTGCCATCTTGCTCATTAGACTTCCTCTGCCAGCCCCTGGAGGATGGGCTCCCCCTTTGGGTTTGGTTCCTCCCACTTTCTTCCTTCCTTCTTTTCCTTGCTACTGTCACCTCTGGCTTGTCACTGGTGGCTTTGGGCAGGGATAATGTAAAGTGCTTTGAGACAATGTAATGTGAAAATGTGCTATTCAAATAAAATTGAACGTTGCTCTGTTTTTTTCTTATTTTCAACCTCAAGGCTTCTAGCCAACAAACCAGAGGTGTTGTGTGGCTCGGTGGGCTAAGCCTCTGTGCCTGTGATCAGAAGGTTCTTCTGATTTTATCATAAAATAAAGACACACCCTTACATTGCTCTGCACAGCCTTTGCAGCTACGCATGTTCATATGGTTTGTGACAAAAGGCAGACACGATAAAATGGGTACTTTACAAATCAGTGCACCTTGCTGCTTAACAGAGAACATTGGTTTTAGTGCTGATGTCATACAATGAAGACTGTAATTGGTTATGGAAGTGAAACGCAAGCCCCTCCCTTTATTACCCAGGAACCCTTTGAACTCATGACGTGCTGAATGGAAGAACCTTTTCCCCGAAAAGTCGTCCCTTCATCGCCCGAGTGCTGTCTGCTGCGGTCTGGTCGGCCACCCTGAGACGCTCCGGCAAAGATACCCACAGCTTTCAGCTGAAAATCTACCCTGACAGAATATAATAATGCATGTTTGAGGAGCTGCATGGATTTTATGTGAACCTCAGAGCCTGAGTTTTCTTATTAATCATTTCAGTGGCGCTTCTGCATGGCTGTAAACAAGGCTTCTTGGGGAATGTACAGGGGCATGGCTATTCTGGGAAGGATTACCGGGAAGTCTTCAGTAAAAGGGCAATTTTACTGACGTTTTTTTTTCACCATTTTCCATCACCAGATCTTGGGCCATTGAAAAGAAACTAGCCAGTGAGGCTATTCATAGCCGTGGCAGGAGAGCATTTTAATTAACTCAATTGCATTATTTAGCACCAGTGGTCCCTACATACTTAACCTGGATGTTTAGACATGTACTCAGAGAGTAAGTCAGCACTGGGCCGTGGGGCTGGGTGCCGTGCGTCTCTAAGCTGCTCTCTGAGAAGTGGGTCAGCGCCGAGCCAAGCGCCATGACGCTCACGGAGTAGCAGCTCTTGAAACAAGGCAGACATGCGGTAATCCACACGGATTACCCCCTTTCACGGTATCAGTGTATAAGCTCTGGGGGTCTTTCATCTTACAGTACAAAGACGCTGGCCGACTCCTTTACGCGAGTGATGCAATCTTTCCGGGAGAATTACCAGAGATCAACGAAAGTAGGGGAAACGCAGCGAGACAATAAGCCGGACGGAGAAAACATCATTTAGCTCAAGTCGGCTCGAGTCCGGCACTCCAGGCTGTAGGCCGACACTGAGAGAGCACCTCGTGGTGGGCAGGCCAGCGAATGCAGGCGCCGGGGCCCGAAACAGGATGCAAAATGACGAGGGAAAGCTGGGGCCCATTTAGTTCTGCTTGGTATTCCACTGTAACCAGGAACCCAAAAGCATTTTGACAAGCTGTGGGTGAAGAACAAGGAGGATGCTGGTTTCCAAAGCAACAGTAAAAACAGCAGGGGGGGACGTGTCTGTTTCCAGCACACTGACGTGCATATTTCCTTATTTACACCAGAAATTGCTTTCTTTCTCTTAATCCTAAAAACATTCAAATTTGGTTTCTATTTATGCCCCCTGCTCAAGAGAAGAGCAATCCATGGTGCGATGGAAACACAAAACAGTGCTGGGAAAAACATGCAGTCCTCAAGTACAATTACGTAATAATAAAACTTATTTAAGCTTACTAAACAAGAAACCTGCGCTCTTGCTGCAATTCTGCTCCGTTAGCCTCTGTTGTACCAGCAGTCATTGACACGTCATTAAATTCAGATTTACAGGTATTAGGTAAATGAACTGTAAACAGGGCCCTTCCTGGATTTATCTCAAGCTCAAAAGCACGGGACTTTTAATGTCCCTAATACTTTTTATCTCTGGCCACCACACATGCGCGGCACGGTATGTGCGACCCCTGCGAGGCTCGGAGAGGCACTGGCATCAGCAGAACACCGACCGGAACCGGAAACCCTCTCCACTGGGGATGGACGGCTCCAGGTCCCATGGGAGAAAGAGAAGTATGCACCTTTTTAGAGAAATGTGATGTGGAGAGTTACTGAATTATACTGTGCGTGATTAGGCTTTCAGAAGAAAGCGATCTCAGGTGCGGAGCAGGGCCAAAAACCTCAGGGTTTGTTCTGACTTGGCACGCAAACTGTGACAGGAGAAAACACTATGCGCAAGGATCTCCACGCTTTCTTCCAGCTCAGCACAGGGGTGGAAACGCAACACGCACACATCGGAGGAACATGAGGACACTGGCTGATAAAGAGGTCACTGTATGGGTCACCATCAAACGCGTTCATGTTAGCGAGGGAGGGGGAGAGAGTGTGAGAGAGAAAGAAAGGAAGGAAGGAAGGAAAATTTAACCAAAAGAGACTGATGGACGCACAACCACACAAACGGAGGAGGACTGAGTCGTGTTACCCACCTGACGGATATTACTGTAAATATTACCATGCTGCCAGTTACTGCCAGAATACAGGACAGGCATGTGCTGGACCTTATTTTTAAACAATCAAACACAAAGACTGGGCACATCAAGTCCTAAAGGGGGGGTGGAGACCAGTGGACCTGCGATGGCGGGAACAGCTCCATCAGCGTGTAGCAGCTGGGACTGCCGCGAGGGGGGGTTTAACGCGTCCAGGAAGATCAGTCAGGAACAGGCAGCCCAGCCTAATCTCCTGTGGTGAGTCACGCCAGAGGCTTATATCTTTAAATGAGGACACAGAATTCATAAGAACAGCGCGCCGTTCACCCCCCACTCCCCAAGATCTCGCTGACACCGCGTGTGCCAGTGTGTGCACTTTAAATCCACTGTTTGTTTGCGCGTCACCCCGAGCCTCCGCGAAATTGCTTGTCAGTGTGTCTCCTGAGCTGCGATGCTACAGTACGGATACCCCTCCACGGGAGCAATTTCCAAAGCAAACTCTCCTCCTGTAGCAGCCCCGCATGGGGTCCCCCCTCCCATGCTGATTTTAGCGTTAAAAGCGCTAAAAGGTCAATCCTCGGAGTCCGAAGGCCAGGGCTGAAGGATTGAAAATAGGAATATTTTTTTTAAAAACTATATGAAATGGTCAGGACATGGCAGGAGGGGGACCCAGGCGAGTACTGGAACAGCGACCAGCCGTGGTAAATACACAAACTTTAAATGCGACACAGTGGGGTGATGGATTGGGTGTGGCCACGCGACTTTGCAGTGGCAAGATCGAAGGCGGACAGGGAGCAGCCCGAGCCGTGAAAAGGCGCACGTCACTGAGTCCGCCATGGCGGCGGTGCTCCCATGTTCTCAGGGCACGCCGAAGGTCGTGGAGACGCTGCACCACGGATCGGACGCCGCAGAAGAGTAACCAGGTAGAGCAGCAAGACGTCTTCTGCATTTAGCCCCAGGACTTTCTAATAAGAGCGGCGGGGTCGCGCTGATAAACCCCTGCTCCACGCTGGGAATTTCAAAGCCCCAAACTCAAAGTTTGTTCCTGTCCGCCATCCCTCCGCTGTGTAACTAACGTGCGCAGACATCATTAAGCGGTAAACTGCCGTCTTGCAAATTAGTCATGCAGCATCAGCACTGATGCAAAGCAACGCAGGAAAGGCCATTATTGCGGAATCAATTCTCAATTACCTCTGTACTGTCGCAGGCGACATGGCAAATAGACGCTAATAGCTGTCACCGTTACGGCTCCCGCGGAGTGAAGCACGGGGAGACTCTGCACCTGCCGCGCGCGCACAGATCAGCACCAGTAATAATAACAATTAATTAAATAAAAATGACAATAACAACGACAGGGAAAACTTGTCAACAAAAACTGAAACAAAAAATAGATATTTTATTTAATATTTCTAAACATGATTCAAATGTAACGCAGATCATGCATATCCTTTTGCATTTTTGTAGAAAATGTAAAATACGCTGTTTGTAAATAGCATTTTACAAAGTACTACATGAGTTTTGAGAGACTAGATTTACATATGAAAAAAGCCTCAAACTTTAGCATACTTGCATGTATTAACTTTGCGTTTGAATAGACAACATTTTAAAATGGATCATTATGGATGATTCCTACTGTGTGTGCGTGTGTGTTGGGACAAGGAATGAAATGCCCGCAATCAGCTGGAAAGTGAAAACCACTTAAAGCGCGGCGCGATGGCCGCTCCCCGCCCTCTATTAAAACGCCGTTAAGTCTAATTGCTTGTGCTGGCGCTGCACGGCGGCCACTTTCCGCTGAAAGATGACGGCAAAAATGGCCGCGGTGACACAGATACAATCTGCACTTGTTTCAATTAACGGCGATGGTGACTGACACGTTAATCAACGGCCAGAGGCGTTTTTTCTCCCATAAAATTAGTTTGAAAAAGTTTCAGTTTCTTGATGGCAGTATGACTTACCCCCGAGTATAGTGAGGCCGTTTTAGGAGCAGCTGATGCCGCATGCCGTCCCTGCGCGCGTAGGGAGGTGCCGTCGTTAAAATGCCGGTGGCGTTTTACCGCTGGGATCCCACCGAGCGTTTATGCGGCGGCCGGGAAGATCAGCATCAGGGCCGCTTTAGGAGGGTTTGGCTCGTGTTTTCAAACGTGTTTCCAGCTGGACGCCAGACTCCGACTTTTTAAGGTATTTCCCTAACCGATAGTGTAAACGTCTCCGCATCTGAGATGTAGGGTTCGTAATTAAAATAAGCAACAAGACAGATGCACGAACAAACACAACACGACATATTTAGGTTTACTATGGCGTCATTGCTAAAGTAAAACCTTTGCAAAGTACGGGCACCAGTCATAACCGGTCGCTTACATCAAATGCAGTGCGAGTTGTCACTTATTCACTGTCATCCTAGACCAGCCATTAATGTCGTGAGCTGACAGAGGCAGGGTTATGATTAATGGAGCAAAGTTTCCCCTTTTTCCATTATTTCGACACGGAAGCCTACAGAAGAACCTGAATCATTTACCGCAGGTTTCAAACAGACGTGACAGAGTAAAATATCATGCACAATAGACTGTCTCTGAAATACAATGACTACCTTGAGCAGAAAACACAGCCACAATTAGATCTGCTTACTCTGAAAAGTAATTTTTCCCAGCATACCGATGTAATAACCTAATGAAAAACCTGGCATTTGTTAGGTCACTTAAGAAATTAATGGTAAAAGTTGCAAAAATGAATTCATTGTAGTGCTAATAGAACCATTCAGTCCAGCAATGGAAGCAAGTCATCCAGGACTTTTGGGTATGTTGAATAAACAAAACTAACAATCGAACTGCGTGTTTAGAATTGGTAGTGGTCTAGCAGACAGCTGGTGCAATACATCTTGCACCCACCCACATATACTGGTACAGAGCCGTAGGAATTGGACTTTCCCAGAGGGAACGAGTTAGGAGACACCCTGGACGTGTACATCTCAATGCACATGTACACAAAGGAATTTAATACTGGGAGGAAAAAATGAACTGTGTCCAATCAGTAGTAGGAACCTTCAATGGCCAGCACTCCGGAAACTGGCGAAGGGGCCTGCAGGACTGACGCGACCATGGCAGTGGGTGCTGTCAAACTTTTATTTTTCTGTCCATGCTCGGCTAAATCATGGCAGACCCTGAAAATGTTTGCGTGAAACATCTGCTGCTTGCCTCAGCAATATCTGACTCGGTCCAGCAGTGATCCTGACACATCTTTATGGGCTAACTGTTATATAATCCAGTAAACGTATTTACCCCTCGACTTGCTTCGCCTGCTGCCGATGTCCGATACCATTATTCCACCAGCCTGGCTCCTCTCTGCTCATCGATTCTGACTTGCAATGGAGCTTCTGCTACTACAGAGGGAAAACACAGCTTCTCTTTCCTGGACCTACATGAGGTGGGAGAAACCACGAGGTAGCGGGGGGGGGGGGGGACATGCTTGCAGCCACCACCCTTAACTTCTGTGTAACTCCTGTCACTTGGAGGGGAAGAAATGAATGTCCCAGCCATGAGTGAGGGGCCTCTGGCTTTCAAATGAGCGCGTGCTAAATGAGCTAAACGTTCGTGGCTCCGGGGGTGTCGGAGTTGCTCTCCTCGGCTATTTGTCATCGTCGTCTAATTTCGTTATAACCTCACGGAGGTCTTTGCGCCGGGGCGCTGCGGCTGGCTAACTCGATCGGGCCGAAGTTCCCCAAACCCGTGCCTCTCGAGCATTTGGATCGTCTCGCTTTTCTTGGCAAGGCTCAGCTCGATGTCAACATTTGTTATCACCCCCCCTCCCCACCCCCACCTCTGATGATTTGTTGGGCACGACTCTGGGCTTTTGTGTTGGACAAGGAAGAAGAAAGTCACTTGCAAGTGGGGGGGGGGTGGAGCGATTGTTGGCAAAGGAATTTCGACTCTGCATTGGTGCTTATCGCTAATTACTTTTGCAATTCGTCTCTTTTTTGACGTTGCAGCTTCCTGTTCCTCATCAAACATCATCCGGTGTCCCTTCACGGTGCATGCCACTTCTACGTAAGGAATATTGTTATTTTTAATACAGTTTTTTTTGTCCAGTAAGGCATGCATGTATTAATATTTTACCTATTTTCAGCAATATATATTTAATGAAGCAATTCAGGTTGGAAACATTGCTTAGGGGTGCAACGGCAGTTTCCGTCCCAGGAGATTTTAGTCAGCATCCTATTGGTTACTTAACCTCTAGACCATCTTCGGCCTGTCAGTCTCATTTCTTAAAAGAAAGAAGAAAAAACACCATCCCCTGTTAGTGTCTCCTGGAATTATCACAGGCCAAAAAAACTGTACATGAACCTGCTGCTGATGCACTTTGACAGAGGAGAAGGCGGCAAGCAGGAGACTGACCCACCTTTCCAGCATTTAATTAAGGGATTAATATATTATGTCATACCAGTCAAAACACAACACGGATGATTTATTACGCTGTCCGTGGAACATATTTCACCACTGTGTAGCTGAATACAAGATATACAAGTGTGAATTAAAAAAGGCCTCTTCTCAGAGTCTTAAAAAGTAATTGAAGGAGTGCATTATGTGCAAGTGCGAGTGTGTGAAATTAATTCCCGAGTTTAAAAAGGACAAAGGGAACGGTGACATCGGGCTGCAGGAGGGAAATGCCAGAGGGCCAAGCCTTTGGGCTATTTGTTTAAATCAATGTCCAGCCACACATTTATTTCACCTTTATGCACGTTTTAATCAGTCTGAGCTATGACTGATGGCAGGCACTGCTAGTTTGAGATTGTCATGTAAATTTACAAGGGCGGTTCATTCTCCTGCACAAGCTATGGCGGGGGCACTGTTGCCTGGCAGTAAATCTCCATGTTTTCCATTATATGAACAATTGCATGATTAAATTATACTCACACTTACTACTATATAATTTTACTTGGCTGACTGTAAACCTTGACATTTTTCAACTGCTAATCAGTCCATTAATTGATGGAGCACCTCCCTCCAGTCATCGTGACTCCACCTCTCAGCAAGAAGTGACCAATCAGAGGAGCGATCTGCGGTGCCATCCCCCCCTGGTCGCACGCTGGTTTTACACCCTGGGGTGTCAGGCTGACGCGTCTCTGCTAGATTCTGGTCCGCTTCTCCTCTCCTCTCCTCTGCTCTGCTCTTCGGGTTCCTGTACGGCTGCGGAGTGATGGACGGGCACAGGCAGAGCACGCGTGCGGAAACCCGGCCAGCCGCATGGAGAAGCAGCAGGGCCGGAGAGTCGCGGGAGGGAAGTCGCCGGGCAGGACAGCAGGCCGCCCATCACTCAGCTCTGTCAGTCAGGGTCCACTAGCCACCCTCTGTGTCCTCACCTACAGCCCTTCCCCACAACGAGCCGCGTGCTGCTGTACTTCCTGTACGCATCCCTACCTTCCTCCCTGAAGTGCTCAGATATGAAATAACATCTGTGACACAACTGGCACAAAACACTTCAGCTGGAAAACCCACCCATCCAGAAATTACTCCCTCAACCCAAAAAAAACCACAAACACACGTTTGTATTCATATCTCTGTGGGGACCATCCATTCTTTTCTATGGGAAAGACCCTAATACCAACAATGACAACCCCCTACCCAAGCCAAACCTTATCCATAAATAACCAAACAAAACACAAGACGTTTGGCATTTTTAGTTTTTTGATTGCAGATTTTTATAAAATTGAATTTCCCCTTATGGGGTTCAAAAACTGGTCCCCACAAAGTCAAAATAATAGGATTCTATCACACTGTGGGGACATTTGGTCCCCACAATATAATATATACATGACCCACACAGACACACACAGCATTTTAGCTTAACACAACCCGTCCCCCATCATCAATTATCCTCTCATTATTATTCTTCTGTGTCCCGTCTGAAGCTTTCTCTCTTAGCGAGGTTTTAAAATAAATAAATACAAACAAACCCAGCCACAGGCGAGGAGACAAAAGCAGAGAAAGAGACGGTCACGCTCCGCGCCAAAAAGAAAAAAACCCGAAAGCTTGTGCGCCTCCATCGTTCAGCCTGTCGTCTGGGGGCCTCCGCTTAGGACTGAGCCTCATTAAGAGTCATGAGGTGTGGCGGAAGGACTGAGGACCGCCCAGACCCGGGAGATGCCCACCACCGTACCCGCCCCACTGCACTCCGTTACGAGGGGAAGCCAGCAAACGGACTGTGACACGTCGGGCTTCTGATTCAATTCCCACTTTAATTAGTTCCTATGGTGAGAATACATTATTGATGGAGCCTCGCTGTGCATACATTTAATTCAATCTACACAAACTCTTTGTGTACCGATCCTTAACAAACACAATTCGGCTAAGTACAGAGAACAAGGGCCTCCTTGATGTTACATTTTGATTAGGCTCCAGAATTACCCTCAGGACAAGGCGTTTGAAAGACGTGCTTTTTTTTTTGTGTGGTCTGAGTTTTCATTATTAATCACACGGGGGGATTCAAAAAAAAGAAAAGAAAAAAAAGCCCTGTTTGTATTGTCAGAGCTTTTGCGGGACCCATACTTATCAAAATGTCGGGCCGAAGGAGCACGATGCCATGGTGACACCGAGATGGGGGCATAGACGGCTTTTTACTTCCTGAGATGAGAGGGACGATGTCGCAGGAGGAGCATGGAGGGCTTTTAAGGGGGTGCAGGTTAGGTCATTGACCACGGGAAACAGAGACGCCCGATAAAAAACAAGCAGGCATGCAAACCGTCAAGTCAATAATTGTCCAGAGTCCACAAAATACAAATACAATGGGGGGGGGGGGGCTACTCAACTATTAGTTTGCAAGGCTTAGGGTGTGAGAGGACAGGGGCTCTGAATCCTACACATTCTATCTTGTATGCTTTAAAAAAATAAGGTTTATTTAGCTTAGGCCTGAGGAATACCATGGCGAAGGACGGGAAGAAGGCTTAAGGGTGGAGGCGATTGTAGGGAGGCATGGAAATACGGAGAGGCTTTTTATGGGGGGGGGGGATGCTGATGCAGAAGCATGAAGGGTGGTATGGGCAAGTCCTGTCCTTGCAAGCCTTTCAGGGTGACTCAGCTCAGTAAAAGGAAGAGTGCGCATTTGGGCCTTAATTCATCAACGTCTGGATGGTGCGCGGCCTCCTCACTGGTGACGGGAGAAACGAGCCTTTGAAGCGAGCGGCGGCTGAGATTACCGTGCACCGTCAGGCGCCGACAGGCTCAGGCCTTCCCTCATTGGTTACCGCGCCCCTTCCCGGAGGTGTTACCGGGCACTGATTGACAGGCCACGCTAAATGGCATCCAAGGTGGGTTTCCAGATCTACTTTTTTATCACTGATTTTCTCTTTCTTTATTAAGGGGAAAAAACAAAGAAATCTAATTAGTAGAAACCTTCACTTAGACTGTGTAATTAACCCTAGCAACTTGTTCTGTCTGAGATAATCGGAATTTGCTAGAAGATCCACCTATACCACTCAGACTATTTCACAATGGGCTAATAACAACGAATGACACTACGAACTACAAACCACAAACTTGATTTTATTTAATTATTTACTTTTGGATTGTTTAAATGAATGAATTTTCTCCATGAGCTTATAACATCCCATGTATATTATTGCACTAAATTTCTAGGAGAGAAACCATTCAACTCTGAGATAACCTAAGATTGCTGACAGACACACAAGCAAAGAAGGTAACGCTAACATGAACTGATCAACAGAGCTGTCTCTTTAATATGTCTTCATAGTGAAGCAAAATAATAATCTATATTTTGCCATGTCTCTAACAATATTTATCTGAATTACAGCAAGCTGGCTCTTCAGGCTGCCCTTTTGAGACACGCCAGGGGAATTCTCTTCGGATACAGGGAAGCCGGCGTGGGCAGAGAGGAGACGATAGCATGGGAGGTCTGCATACTGTACTCACGTTGAGTTCCCCAGGACACAGTAAGAGCAGCATTACCTGGACTTTCAAGCTGGGGCGCAAACGGATCAGCCAGAAAAAAAAAGTATAATTCCAGGGTCATTTAGATTAGATTATAATAATATGATGTATGTGAAACAGGGGTTTTGTTCAAAACAATAAAAAAAGCCACGTCACATCATGATAAAGCACAGCTTTTTGGGGAAAAATTGCTTATTTACATATGACACTGTGGACTGCTGATCCAAGAAGAAAGAAAAGAGAAAAAGGCAGACAGATAAAAATAGGCAGACAGGCAGACCAAAAGATAGTCAGACAGACAGACAGACAGACAGACAGAACGAAACAGACAGGGTACTTCTGCCATCATATGCTTGCTCCTCTCTGGAAGCTATTTTCTTGACACCACTAAGGCGTGACCATTATGTGTGGCACGTCCGGCACGGCTATGCGAGCACGCAGACCCACAGGAGAGAGTCCAGCACCACAGACAGCGACTCTGCCTCATCTCCCGCTTGCAGAGACCTGCCCAGTCTGCTCTAAGGCGCGGCGCGTGACGCGTGTCGGCTTCCGCTCCGTGCTCACCAAGCCGTCCTTGAAGACATCTCTTAGTCTGCAGATTCCGCCCTTTATTTGGTAGAAGATGAAGCTTGTGCCGGGACCGGTGTGGAAGCACTGTGACAAATGAACCCGCTTTTGCTTTAATCCTAGCCCCTTATGCGGTGTATTCCTTTTCCTCATCCTTCCACACCTCCTTCTCAGGCCCTGCTGCTACCGTGTCACCTGTCCCCGCATGGTGCCACACTTCTGAAAGAGAACGAATTTCTGCTACGATGGAATGTACTTCTCAAAGAAAAACTATTCTTATCTATGCGCACAGCACGACTCGGTGCCTATCCGGGACCCGAAGGCGCAGAGGAATATATACGCAAGCAGACAGAACGGCAGCTTGATGGGTACAGCTTTAATTGTACGAATAAACACAGCCAAGCCAAATGGAGTACGGCCTCTTATAGGACAGATTCCAAATCATATGGATGGTACAAACAGAAAAAAAACTTAACTGCATATAATATTGTTCTGACATTTTTTAAAATTTAGTGGTACAGAAGGAAGTCAAGAGCTTGATGCAGCTGGTTTGAAGACACAGACAAAGACCGGGAGTCTCTCTCTTGGGTAAACAAGGGCCCTTTGAACCGGATCGAATTCTCCCCCATTTTTATTTCAATTCTTTAACCTGTGGCAGCCCAACACACTTAATAAAAACATCTCTGCACTGACCTACACAGCGTCCCAGGAGCTGACAGATCAAAGCACTTATTGTTCTTTATTAAACCGAGGGTTAAGGGAAGAGAGGAAAGGCAGGAATGAACAGTCGACGCTTCGCTAAACTGTCAGGGGAAAAGATGGGCGCTAACATAATATGGGCTGCACCATAAGACAAAATGTAAACACAAATGTAATTCAGTTCAATTTATCTTTATATAGTGCCCACCCCAACATCGTTAAGTGCTTTGGGGCAACAAAGAATCAAACAACAGTGTCACTAACCAACCAACGATGGTTAAGGGTAATAACAACAGAAATGGATATTAAATAAAAGCCAAAAGAGGAGAGGAAAAAAGAAAACCTCAGGACGTTCAAGGTCAACTGGTTGCCCTACCCCCTTGGGCATGCTAACATTATACAGGTCTGAATGCAATATCATTTATTGAACAGTGGTGGACTACATGCACAGAGTCAGCCTCGGCAAGTCTGAAAGACCCTTCTGTGAGAAGATGGACTGGGTTTTGGTACTACCAGAATGGTACAATTGGACAAAGTGGACAATTAGCACAGCGATGCAAAGAATCGTACAATTGGACAGTATTTCTCTTTGCATCACTGTCGCACAGGCACTCATTGGGTCTTGTGCAACATGGCGAGCAGCGACTCGTCGAGGCATGTCACATGGCACGGCGGACCATCACCTGGGTCTTTGGCAGCGCTGGGTTTTCAAGCGTGCGTGACGAGCCCGGTCCCAGGCGTGATGAGCGACTGGCATGCTGCCAGGACTCTACGGTGCTGTGTTCTCTACACGGCATTTTTTTTGGATGAAAATGGCAGCTGGCTTACCAGTCTGCTTCCAAATGAAAAATGAAGCGCTGCTGGTATCATGGAGTTCGCGCTGGACTGACACCCCATCCAGTGCGTTCCCCAGCCTTAAGCCCTCCGCGTCCTGCAATAGGCCCCAAACTCCCCCTGACCCTGTACTATATAAGTTCTGTGCAGGATGGATGGATGGATTGACGTGTGGAACCGTGGGGTGCGCACACCTGGCCGCTGTTAGTCTTTCCATTGTCTTTCTCCTCCAAACTCCATCACCTTCCCTATCTATTTATACCTGATCCTAAGCACAGGGAAACATTTGCCGATTTAACAATAGGCATACTTGTGTGGAAAATCTAATGCTTTATACATTTGATGGTATTGTTTGTCTACCTTCTCTATGTACTGGGAGAGATATACCCATTATATATACAGGAAGAGTAAGGGAAATACATGATGGCATTGGCAGGCAGCCTTCATATCAACGTCGGCCTGCTAAAGGCAACCCCAATCCTTTAAAGGTTGACCAAATCCATTCCTACTTAACAGAGCCTATTGAATTAACCTCGAATCGACTGGCCTTTCATTTCTGAAGACACTTTACATTCACAATAGTTACTTCTATTAAAAATGGTGTTACACTAGATAATTACATCGTCAAAAACGCACACTCATGCAATATTTATCTGTTTTACGTGATAAGACTACACTTACAAAAAGACAATACATTCATTTCAAGATATGAATGAAAAAATGCAATAAATGCACAGAAAGAAATCCGCAAGACAAATTATACAATATTCAACTTTTAGCGTTCACTTCTGATGTAAATTTGTATAAAATGAATGTGTTGCTTGATCATGTGAGAAACGTTCTGACACAGCACATCTGTCTGTGTTCTTACACGTCCAGCATTTCAGCGGTGCTACACTGTGTCATTGTTTACAGAACGAGTCAAATCGACTCTCCCCAAAGCGACTGAGTCACAATCCCATCTATAAATAAGGCCTGTCCTCTTCTCGGAAGATGACTAACCATCAGTCATCCCGCGTTGATAGATTCTTGCAATGAAGTGCTGAGATCCAATTTTGATTCGTTAAAAATTTTCCATGTTTCTTGGAAACTACATTTTAGGGTTTATATTGGCGTAGCACATGAAGTCTCACACTAGAACCTTTTCTGAAGTCAGAATTAACACAGGCCAGACATGCATCAATCATGCACTTTGAAACTGAAAAGAAAACCATCTTTGCTTTTGAGGGGTGGCATGCTGACCAGGTGTGTCCTTACCCACAGGAGTACAGCAGGGAGCTCAGTGAGTTTTACATCACAATGCACTTTGTAACTGTACAAGTTGTGCTTAAGACATACTACAGGTGGTGCTCAGTTTCCTTAAAATGCGAACTCTCAGTTGATGCAGACTTGTCAGAAAAGTTGATAGTAATACTAATCTCATTACAGCATGAATGTAATGTCACTTTTAGTAACTCAGTAACTCGAGCTTATAACAAGCATGTGAAGCTTTTGATTCATCTACAATCTCAAGAATATCATGAAAATATATATAAATACTACAAAAGTATACATATATACTAATGATTTTATGTAACAATTTAAGGTTTTACACAAGCAAACATGCTAATGAATAATATGAAGATATATCTTCCCATTAGTTTATGTTTTCCATAATGAACAGGTCAAGATTTATCTAAAATGTAGCAGAATTAATTTTCATAACTCGCATGTCAAACTCTCATGTTCCGAACTGCAATCTCAATGATTTTCACAAATGATACAGCTGCAAAAAGACCATTAAGATTTTTATTACAATATATTGTCTTTTCCATTAAATTGCACTATTACCAAACCCCATCAGCCTGATAGGATGTGTGCTCAATAATACTGAATGGATGGATGTTAACCAGTCGTAGGATGATAATGTAACCATCAGTCATTAATAAAAGGATGCAAATTCATAATGTGTTTAAGATCTCTGACTGGCTGGAATTGAGAAAACAACGTTTTCGAACTATTTTCTATTCGACATTCAACTTTGACTCGGCTCATTTCATGACTGCATCCCAATCCGTGAATGTTTAAACATCCGTCTTTGGTTGACAAATCGAGGCTGACAGTGTTTTAGATGAAGAAAAATGTATACGTGAGCCTAAGGCCTCAACACAATGAAGAAACAGACTCAGATGAATTAGATTCTGATAAGGACAGCAATACTGCAGAGCCCAAAATGATCCCTGCAGTAAGGAAACTTAAGCCTAATAGGAGTGACGATGTACTTTCGCTTATGATTGTATGCTATGGGGTGTATGGCTGAAACTATTCTGTGTTGATATTTATTTTTCCTCAAGCCAGCACCTCCTACCTGATCCGTCATCAGACTTGTCCTCATTGTCTGAGTCGGTTAGTGTCAAAGCGGAGTTCTCCCGGCTCGACGGGCCGGAGCTGCGGCCAGACTTGCCAGCTCGGCCTGCCCACAGTTCCACGGCGCGCTCCGGGGACATGGCCTCCTCTGGGTCCGAGTCGGCGTCTGAGCCCACGCTTGGCGAGTAGCCGCGGGCTGCGGGGCCCAGGTCCGAGCAGTACAGGCTCGGGTGGGCCGTTGCTGCTGCCTCACAGAGGCCCAGCTCTGCCAGCGTGAAGTTCCCTGTGGAGAAAGTGGTAACAGCCAGATCACAGTGGTGCCAGACCGGACCGAACCAAACCAGGAGGCAGAGTACAGCAGCTCCAATGTGCAGGCAAAGAAATTACATGACGGGAACATGGAGGCAAACCAATCCCCCAGCCCTTTGCGAAGCCCGCTGGTCACGGTGTTTATCGCACGTATTTAAAAACACTGTTATTTCTTTAAAGACTGTAAGCTGCCTCTGGCCAGGAGAACCATAGTCCACAAAGACACTCTATGAACAGGAAGCAGGGTGTGTTGCCAACACACATTTAGACTCTCCCGGTTGTCGTCTCGAGCCATTGCCAGTTTTCACAGAGTCGGATCCTCTTGAAGCGAACGCAGTTCCTCTAGTTTCGCTAGATACGTATGGAAAGGCCTGTCTGGCCAGGAGGATGCAAACTGCTTTCCAGTTGCCTCTGAGCAAAATCCAGTCCTTCAGAAAACTGTCCCATACACTATAGCTACTCTCCAAATCTCGATGTGCCACAGCAAAAGAAAAAGACCTTTCAACCACGTCTTACCATTTCCCTCATTCTGTACCACATGAGTTTTAGAGAACAACTGTGTACCCCAAGAAGTCACAAAGAAAAAGCCCAGTCAAGTGTGGTCAGAACACGAGGCATTTCTTTCTTTTTTTATTTATGAATGATACGAAAGTTATAATCAAGGCAAGTGCTATCCAGCTGGCTACCATCAAATTATACAGATGCTTTTTCTTTATAAAAAAGAACAAGGGAACCAGCTAGGGACATTCAAATAACTATAATTAACATTTTTTGCCCGCAGAAGTATATATTAAAAAAAAGAATAAATCACATTAAAGCTTTTTCAAATATTAAAATAAAAGTTGGAAGGGGAATGCATTTGAAACTCAGTGAAAGACTACCCCGGTCACAAGAAACAGAAATGCGACTGATGGAGGAGGCCACCTGAGCGGAGGAACGAGAATCCCGCTGCTATCGTTCTGCACCGAGGAGACGGTAAGAGGATGCAGACATTGTTTAAATCGAGTGATTCAGAGAGGCCGTCTCCACCCACCCACCGGCTGTCCAAATCTCCCCGGCGATGCCACAAGTTGGAAATCCTGAAAGAATTATTCTACTTTTCAAATCGTTTTGGCAGGAGCGACTCGGAAGCGAAACCTTTGTTTTGAGTCTTAGTGCTTAAACCCGAAACAGCCATTTCCATAAGGCAGTGGCTGGATATAAACATCTGCAGGCGGCTGACTGCACAAATAGCGTCTTTCAGTCTGTGTACGGATTAGCGTAAATGGGCCACCGGTTTCTGACCTAAATATAAAAAGGAATTATGCATTTTTTTCCTGTCAAAGACAGGAAAGGAAAAAATGCGGAGATTCTGTCTATGCAGCAAGAAACGTAAATATATATATTTTTTATTGCAGATAGCCATTTTGCAAACACCCATCTTCAACTTTAATGTTTTTAAAATTGATATAGCGTAAATTTTATTTCTAACCCTTCTTTTAGTGGTGACTGTCTACTTTGTAGTCTCAGGCACTATCCCAGGAGTCAAGTGTGACAGCTACCGGCAATTAAAATGTGTATTGCAGCAAAGGGCTGCTGTGAAAGACAAAACAAAAAATGAGGCAGATTAGAAAAGGAGAGGAGTACAAGGGTCATCATACACACAAAGGTAAGGGCATCATTATGAATGTATCAGACATACAGGCATGTACTCAATGAATATATGGTATTGTGCAGAGCTTTAGATGAACGTTAACATTACTTGCCTTCATGTTTGTCACTTTAAGAGAATAAAAATCAAGCCCAAATGGTGAGAGCAACAGGTAACAGCTGCCTGATCGTTTCATTCTGTTCATTACTGATAGCGAATTAAGGCTAAAGTCAAATTTACATGTACTCAAAGCGCTTCGGCAACAGAAGGTCATGTAAAACAAATGCATAAAAAACATGTATTAGAATAAATCAAACTGAATCAATAAAACAATTAAATCTGAGCTGAGAGGGGAAGAGCAATTTTTTTAATGCACATGCAACCAATTTACTCTGTTTTGTAATTAAAACAACGTCGTAATGGAAATCCCAACAAACTGGGGAAAAAAGCGCTCTGTTAGTTAGCATCTTCCGAGAAAATGAACATCCAGGAACTGTAAATCAATTTGGTCAAAAAACACATTGCTAAATTAATTCTCTGTTCATTTCTGTAGCAATGCAGTGAGCAGAGAAATCGCAGTGTAACGGGGAAACAGCAGGTGGGCGCGGGTGACGGTAATCACTGTGCGTCACGCCCTGGCTTAATTGTAATAGCTAATAGTTAAAGAACGACCGTGACAGCCGTGATGTGGAATGCAGTTGCTTAAGGTACATTTTGGAGCTGAGAGCCAGACTGAACACAGTACAGAGACATGACAAACAGCTAGAGCACAGTCAGACCAATGCAGATACACCTGTTGAGACACTTGCCCTGCCCCTCCCCCCAACACACAGGTGTATCCGCAGCGATATTCAGCAGCGTGGTTCAGGGTCCACACTTGGCGCTTCAGTATATCCCCTCCGGGGGGCGCCATACCTGCATACTGCACGCTTGAAAGGAGGTAGCCAATGGTGACGGGGGCCAGCTCCATGTAGGCTGGACGGGAGTGAACACAGTGTGAACAATCTGCTCCTGCCCCCCCCCCCCACCTCCTTCGCACGCGTCCACATTACTCATTAGTCATGTGACACGGCACTGTTGGCTAGCGAACAACAGGACAACGAATCAACGGGGAATTAAAAAAAAAAAACAAGCCTGACAACTGGCAGGATTCATCATAAATAATACATCAGACAGACAGACAGACAGGCAGACGGTCACACAGACAGACAGCTCTCAGTTGGGGCGTGGACAGCGGGGCGGCAGACAGACGAGCAGTCGAATGACAAAACCGGGGACCTGCTTGGGTGGGTCTGCTGGCAGTGTTAATGTTTGGGGAACTTGACAGGGAGGGGTACTGTTTTAGCGACCACCATGGGAAAGCTGGAGGCACGCCGGAAAGCAGAGTGACTGCTGACATGAGAGAACAATGAGACCTTGTGACAGGTGCTACACACGAGCCGCCCCTGACAAAAGAGGCTTATTTCGCAGGCCCGGCTGCATGTGGACACCGCCGTTCCATTAGCATGTCTCCCTGACAGGTAAACGCCAAGGGCACACAGCAGAAAACCCCACCGTAACGTCACAGGTAGAGGCCCCATGTCAGCCTGGGTGACACCTACAGGATTATTCACACTAATGACCTATTTCTGGTGCTGGGTAAAAATAAAAATACTGTTTGCAGCAGTTGTAACCATAGGAACAGGCCATTTTAAAGATGCTAGAGGAAATAAAATAGATTTTACTCTGGGGGGAAAGCAACAAAGTAAAAAAAAAAACCAAAGAATTCTAGGAAGTATTGTCATATGTGAGGTACTTAAATGCCGCAATGCATTTGCATAAGGCACATCTGAGGAAAACGTGATCTGAGAGTGACCTGCAACACAATGTGTGATGAACACAGAATCCAGACCACACCTGTTAACACACCTGGGCACCTGCTCACCCTCACAGCTGGTGGGTCCTCAAATCACTGAGCACTGCAGAAATCTGACAAGTCAGTGTAAACTGCCTATACATTTATTAAAGCCTCCGTAAAGGATTAACTGCATCATTGGCATTAGTTTTAGCTGTTTCATTGCTAACTGTTTAATTATTTTACGGGGGAGGGTGAAAATGGGCCATGTAAAAGAAATCGTTAGTTAGTCATTAGCTCATAATTAGTTAATTTAGTTGCATGTTTGGCCGCAGTCTGTTTTGTGCTCGCAAGCGCCGCCTTTTAAGCTCAGTCCGGCGATTCCTGATTAATTTGTCTTTCACACTTTTCTGTACTTTTGAAATTTTTGAACTTAATTAGCGAAGGAAACATTCGGTCAGCTTCCTCACAGAGGGATGCTAATCAAAACACACACCGAAAAAAAAAAAAAAACAAACAAGCCCAGCACATTCTCTCATGAAATACAGCGTTTACTTCAAAAGAAAATATCTTGGAATTAATACATAAAATCCTTTGTGCTTTTAGAGAAAAATCGACAACTAATAAAAAGGCGACTATTTTTCAAAATTGTACCCTGTGTGGGCCGTCGTTTCTTTCCAAATATGTCCCCCCCCTTCTAGAAGGAGGAGGAAGACTTACCATTAGGATACTATATATTTCTGATTAAAGTAAGCAAGTCCCTGCTGTGTCATGATTCCGATGCTGCCCTTCCCACAATTCCGCAGGAGAAAGAGGGCTTCGGATCGGCAGGCAACAGTTCTGGAGGAGCATCTCCTACTCAGACCTCCTTGGTTCAGATCGAGATCTACAATAAGCTACAGCTTTGAGCGGTAAATCTGTCAATATTCAGGTTAAGCCATTTATCCATTACTGATATCTCCACTATAACACACTTCTACAGGGTTAGGTGGGGGGAGCACGCTTTCATTTTTTAATTTCCTCTCTCTCACACAAGTCCATATCTGCAGGGGCACAGTGATCGCCCAGTCCCGCTAACCCTGTTACCCACCAAGAGCCCTGAGTGTCGCACATACCGATACCCCATCAAACCAGAGGTGGCAAGCGAACCAGGCAGGCGCTCGGACTTGTCATAGCCTCCGGCCACGTGACGCTGACGGCCCCGACCGTCACGAGATGGCGACGTGATGGAAAGCGTAGCACTCGATTATGTTTTCTCCCACCGGTGGGGGCGGAGTGAGCGGTGGCGGTGGTGGTGTGGGGGGGGGTATGGTAGTGTCCCCTGTCTCCCAGCAGCACTTGCCATTTCAGACTGATATCTCTAAATGTCACAGGCCGGCGCCTCCGTGGCAGCAGACTTGTGATGACAGCGCCCTGTTAATGATGAATAGCCTCGAACGGGGCACTGGGCTTCGGGAGACTCAGGCAGCCCCTGATACGACCGGGCCCTGGAACGAGGAGGGAGCGTGCG